TTAAGCCTAAAACGTAGTACAACAGACTGAATGTTCCGTGTGCAGCATTTTTTAATATTTTTTGGTGTTAAATCCTAAAACAAGGATGGTGTCTATATAAGTCGTAAGTCAGTGCTTCACCAGCGTCAGAGAGATTCTGTAGATTTATTCTGTGCAGTGAATCCGTTTCTCACTTCTAACATTCAGAACAAAAACTCTTTATTTTTGACAGGGTGAAATAAGATAATATAAGTAATGGTCTTTTCCACCCATGTAAACTGGTGAATGTTATAAAATATATTACAACAATAATGTTTTATTTCTAAGGTAGACTCTTGTGTCAGATAATCTAAGTCAGTGTTAGAGAATAGTTAAAACTTTTTAAGATTTACTCGGTTAGCCTTCCTAGCGGGGCTGTAACACCGGTTATACCCCGAGCTCTATGGCTAATCTGGCATTTTGCTGGTGGACATAAATACAGTATAGTAATATTCTATCGACAAAATATAAACAATATCTTATCCCCCGAGCCCTCACGTCAATAGTCCATCGATTTGAACAAAAAATATCCTGCAGTGCTGAGGCATCTTCTACTGTTAGCTTAGCGAAGTAGGAGCGACGACCGCTCCAAGATGGCCGCCGCATTTCCTCCGCTTGAGCAGCCAATGTGGGACTGGTCTTTATTATGTCTATGGCTCCTGATGCAGGTGAGCTACCTGAGTGTTCTTCGCGCTGTTGGCCGCAGCACGGGAACCCAACCGGACCAGAAAACCCGGATCCGGCAGCTGGTCAGCAGCACCATCCTCATCTTCCTAGTCTGTTTCTCTCCGTATCATGTCTTCCTGCTGCTGCGGACGCTGTTCGAGCGTGACTGCAGCTTCATTGCAAGTGAGTTTCCTGTGAGATCAGGTGACTTTTCTGTTGGGAACAGGTGACCCCTGCACGGTTTTTCATCTCCGTTTCTGATTCGTGCAGGAATCTTTAACTACTACCACGTGTCGCTGCTCCTCACCAGCCTGAACTGCGTCGCCGACCCGGCGCTCTACTGCTTCGTCAGCGAGAGCGCCCGCCGCGGGCTGCACCGTGCCATCGTCAGACCTGTCTCCAGGGTCATCTGCTGCTGCTGTCGCCGAGGCAATGCCAGCCCTGTCGGCCCAGCCGGCGACTCCCACGAGGTGGCGAAGGACGGCGGGCAGAGTGTGACGCTGCTGACCCACAGCTACACACCTCTGAATCCCAAGACAGGCAGCGGAAATGCAACCTCTGACCCCTCGACTGTCCCAAACAAGTCCCGGGCAGAGAACAGCGGAGACATGGGAGGAAGGACCGGGGACAGGGACAGGAAGTGCAGTTGAAACATGGCGGCTGTAGGCAGTCAGACTGCCAGCCGGGTTTTATGATATTACCGTGGTTTCATCCGAACAGCTGAAGGTTAAACTTTGACCTTTGACCTGTGGTTTCTACAGGGGGACTGGCTGCCCTTTACTGATTGGTCAAAAACCGACCGGAGACAATCTGAGTGAAAGGCAGAAATGCGAGCAGACTGAGTCGGAAGCCAGAAAGTTTTGTAGCAGACAATTGCAGGAACCCAATGTCCGGAACCAGGAACCGTCTGGACCAGGGCTGGACCAAGGCATAAGCAAACTAAGCAGCCGCTTAAGGGGCCCCCTCAGTGGAGCAGATTTTTTTGTTTGTTTTAATAATAAATTATGTCATTATAATATCAAAAACACATAACTTAACTGTGAAGTGATTTGTTTTTACAATAAGTTTAATAATGTATGTAGAAATTATTTTATTGATAAAAATAAAAACATAAATTGCTCTTGAGGTCCCCTGGTGGCCGCCATAGGTACTGCACACTCCGTCGGTACCATGAGCTGCAATGAGCATCCAAACGTCCAAAGCTCCGGTCAGAAGCTAAGTTAGCAAAACAATGTCTCAGAAAAGGACTTATCCTTCAGGCAGGGAGAAAAGGAAGCGGAAGAAC